GATTTCACTGCAGTGAGCCACGTTTTCATTTGTCCACCACGGCGACGACACCAACGCTGGCAAGGCGAAGCTGAAACCACGGCCCTAGTGAAGTGAGTGTCTGGTCTGCGGAGGACGTGATCGAACCACTGAAGTCTGAGGCGTTGGATGCGCGTTGTGAGCTTCGGAGGACCGTAACAGCTTCCAATGTGGAAGCTGTGCTATCGTAAATAATAATATGTCAGCTGAACGCTGGAACGGCGCTTCGCTGCCGCACGACCACCACCAGTCGCGCGCGGGCTGAGTACACCGCGAGGACGCCCACCCCTACGCTGTGCTATCAAATTCACCTGTTGACTCAGATTCTTCAGCAACAACGAGACTTACCCTAATGTGCTGCGATGGTTTGCGTACCGCCGTGACCCATTGAGCCACGCTGAGTGGCACTTTCCAAATGCCTTCAGAGCCACTCATACCAGACAGGTCAGTGGTTAGGTGCTAGACTAACAGTCTCACAATCCAATCCTCTTCGGAGGTTCTGGAGAGGTCGATGGCCCTCTTCTTTTAAAACCTAACCATGGGAGACATGTCTACGGGTTATAAGCTCGTATCTCGATTGGCGTAGAACACGAGAGCCACACATTGTCTCTGACTATGGGAAGGCACCTTCCGGTGTTCAGTGGTTTGCTACCGCCCGCCTCAAGCCAGGCACTCCTTGGTCAAATTGCTGCAAACCCACCAACCCGTCTGCGGTTGACCGTTTTCGCAGGTGCACTGTACTAAATTTTGAGTCTGTGTGACAGGCCTCAAGCAGATCCCAGTGGATCTCTGCAATCACATTCTCGAGCTGGACTTGCTCCCCACTGCCTTGTGGATCTGGCTACTGAGGCAAAGGCTGCGAATGTAGTCCCTCAAGAGAACATCCAAATCCCCACTGCCTTTTGTGTCAGGCTATTGTGCGAAAGGCTCCGAGTGGAGCTCCTCAAGCAAACTTCTATGTACCCAACTGCCTTGTACGTCAGACTGTTGAGCCAAAGGCTAGGAATAAGGCACCTCGAACACAACCCCTCGGATTGGGCAGCCGGAGAGTATCATCTGTCCTCTCGACCACGTGGACAATACTTTCTCTTCTAATTTTCTTTACCCTCTCAACTTTCTTCTCTCCTGTCTATTTGAGCACGAATGTGCTGCTGTCATTGGTACTCGGAACTCGTACATCAAACCACGAGTCTCTTTTCACATGTGCGCTTTGGATCAAATCGGCCAGTTCAATCAGAGCTCTCCCGTTTACAACTACGGACATTCAGGAACACACCAAACTTGACCCTCTTTTACAATACGTTATTCGTTTTTTAAACACAAAGTGGCCAAATCGGATTACTGACACACATACAGTTTTATTGTCCACGTGACAAGTTGGCACTGGTTGATGATTGTGTTGTGTTCGGTGAACGCGTGGGTGTTCCGAAGTCCCTGCAGACGAGAGTATTAATTTATTTGCACATACATCAACCAGGAATATCACGGACGAAAGCTTTATCCAGAAGTTACATATCCTGGTCTTTTATTGACAACGTTATCCTTGATTATATCGTCACATGTAGCAGTTGTGCACCAGCAGGAAAAGTTCCAGGCAAAATCATCCAACTCTGGATGCCAGTCTCTGGGTCTTGGGAGAGGATTCACGTTGATTTCGCTGGTCCCGTGCCAAGTCAGTGTTTTTTGATCGTGGTTGATACGTATACCAAGTGCCCGGATGTATACCTGATGAGCACAACTACGACAGTGGCCACGGTAACAAAATTACAACAGTCATTTGCTCAGTTCAGTTCACCAAACACCTTGGTTTCCGATAACGGTTCGCAGTTTATGCCCGACGGTTTTGGTATTTTCTGTCAGTGTAATGGTATCATGCACTGCCGGTCGCCTCCTGAGCATCCCCAGTCCAACGGGCAAGTAGAAAGATTCGTGGATATCTTCAAATGTTCACTTCCAAAACTGCGGGGGGAAGGACCGACAGAGGAGATCATACAGCTGTTCCGGTTAACTTATCGGTCTACGCCTAACCCCGCTGTACCAGGCGGCAGATCCCAAGCGGAAGCCATGTTCGGGCGTGAGATACGTCTTTCAATTGATGCAATGCGCCCTAAGGTTACGTAGCGGCCACTCGCGTCAGCCGTGAGCAAAAGTTTTCTACCAGGAGAGCCCGTGTACGTGTTGGACACAAGGCCGAACCACCAAAACTGGCAGCCTGCAGTTGTACGAAAAAGGAAAGGCACTGTGCTGTACGAGGTGTCTATCGGGCCATTATTCCTCGTACGGCATATTAATAAGTTACGCAAACGATGGATCTAACAAACAATCACTTCTACTTTCGTGTTACTGTTCGATATATTGCTGGACACCTTTGAACTACCAAATACTGTGGGGATTAGTAAGCCGACGGAAACGTGCGCAGAGCCATGTCGCGGCGTCACTCGAAAACCTATGATGACTACTAAACCGATCCAAAGTTTGCAGGTGAACCCACCACTTCATTCATATTAGCCTGGAGAACTTGTTTTCAATGTGGAAGATGCTACACCAGATGATCCGGTGCCTCAAAAGTACAATGTCACACACACACACACACACATACCTGACCATTAACTTTTCTTCCACCCAATGGTCCACTGTGGTTCATATGCATCAGGCCGCCGCCCATCCAACACCCTCACCTTAACCTATATGGTCGGCTGTCTTGCCTGTTTCATGTGACTTGTGATCTGGTCAATACACTGTCCGGTGCGGTGAAGGTCTTCCTTCTGACGGCTCTAAGCCCCCATTAACTGCGATTATGGTGGACAACCTATACGTTTGTTGACAGCGGCTGCGAGGTCAGCGGCAGTCACTTGTTCAATAGACGCGGAAGAGGAGAGTTGCGATGGGATAAGAAAAGGACAAGAGTAAGCGGATGGAGTATTGTTGGCGTGATCGAGTTAGCTGCTCATTTCGAGTGAGGGGTTGTGTTCGTGGTATCCTACTGATAGCCTGTGATACAACAGTGTGACCCACCGGGCAGTTGGCTACATGGTGGTCCGCTTAAATAACTCCACTCGGAGTCTTTAGCTCTATAGCCTTATCCTCAAGGCAGTTGGGATTAATTCCAGCTTTGGAATTGATTGCAGAGGCTTGTCACATACAGTCTTTGAACATTTAAGACAATTCACATATGTTTTTCGACTGTATTATGTTTCGCAGCTGCAACTGCGGCCAGTTGCGGGTGGGAGTTGGCGGCTTTGCACCAGTTTGACTAGTCACTGGCTTGATGCGGGCGGTAACAAACCACTGAGCTCCGGGCGGTACCCTACCATCGTCAAAGACAATGATTGTCTTTCGTGCCTTACACCATTCGAGCTGCGAGCTTATAACCGGTACACTCGCTTTCTCCATTGGCTTGGTTTTAAAAGGAGAGAGCCATCGATTTCCCCCTAATCTTCGGGGATTGTGGGACTGTTAGTATTACCCCTAGTCATTGATCTGTCTGGTATAGGTTACTCTGAGGACACTTGTAAAGTGCCACGCAGCATAGCTCAACGGATCACCCTTAGTGACCCGCGTAGCGATGTGGTCATTTTGCGTCCAATTATTACTAGGTGTTTGGGTCTCCAAATGGCATATTGCCGCCATTGTCCTATAATCCGTGGTGTGGTGCAAATCTGTAACATGTTTAGAATGTGGTTACCAAGTTCTTCCTTATTTTACGGGATATGTCGCATGAAGACCGATACAGATGTTTGTGGAATTACAATTTTTGCATCGTCGGTTTCACGTGGACCTCATAATGATGCATCGGATATTGCAGCTACGTGGCTTACTTTGCTGCGTTCGCTTTTGCGCATCTAGCAGCATTTGTGTGTACAGATACAAGCTTTTAATTCCTGATCTGAAGTGGATAGCTCACCCTTTACGTTTCGAGTTTCAAGTGATGAAGTATTGGGACACTTTTTTCGAGACATTGGTCATTGCGAACTCGGGGTTGGAGTTCAAGGAATCCCTAGATGCTCATTTTGTGGACTACAAATTTCGAAAACACGCACACTTATAAGAAATCACACAGCGAAATATATTGACAATGCGCACTAATCGAGGACGTTATTCTGCGTATGCTCCTTCCATTATATCGATGAAGCAGTATGAGTTGACCGGCTTCCTCCGTATGTATTCTATGCCGTTGCTGCACCAAGTTCTGCGCGAGCGCGAGTTAGCCAGTCCATGACGTGGCATAAAGGCTTGATGAAATTGGCTGAGAGACCTTGTCAGACTGGTGCATGCCGTCTTCCTGGTTTGTGACCTATGAATGGTATACAGTAATGTTTTGAGACCCCTTCAGACATTGCACAGTCAGTGGCGTTCATGCATTCGGTTTCTTGCATCTAGTTTTTAACTCTCGATCCATTTGACGCACTCTCTTGATTTCATTTTCTTTACATTCTATTTACATTAAACCACATTTTCTCACCGTTATTATTTATTGCTATTCTGACCACCTGAGCCGTACCAAAGGGACCTACCGCATTTTGCTGCCCCGATCCCCATTATTTATCCGAACTTAACAGGTGAATACATTCCAGCTCTGTTTGCAGTATTTAGCATTCACAGTTGCTTCACTTACGTGTGCTTGACAGTGTGGCGTTTTCGTTTCTATCACGCCCCAATCTTTTTCGCCCTTTCCATGCCGCGCTCGTGATTTCTGGTCGTCACGAACACAAGAATTTTAGCTTTGACCAAACTTTATTTCCGGTCTTAGACTATTTCTCCACCCCACCTGCCTCACATTTAAAGCATTCATTCGCACATCTCAGTTTTGTCGGTCTACGTCAGTCAACCATAATACTTTCTGTTAACTGGGGCTCACACGGATGCTATCCTAACATTACAGTCACAATTGTTTCAAATTCTAATAGGGAATTTGTTCGGTATTGTTTCACTTGTTACTTAGCCTTGCGATCTATTTGCTGACTTTTGTTTTCGCTTTTTAGCAACGCCTTGCGCGTTCAGGCCTACATGGCTTTGCATCGATATGACTTGGCTGGGAAGGTCATTCGGCGTATGCAAGCGGCTGATGAAGATTCGCTACCTTGTCAGCTGGCAACGGCCCTTTACAACATATCTAAGGTTGGTATCTTTGCTGATATCGGGTTGTCGAAATAGCACGATGCGTACTCACTAGGGCAGTATTCCTCTTCTCCTTTTCAAATTGAGCCGAACGAAATTCTATTGGCGCCCTCTTCCGCGTAATTATGTCTGGCAAACTCAGCTCCTATACCATACTGGTTCGTTTTATCATTGTGTTCTTGGAATCTTCCCACTGTCTGTACCACGCGTATTTTTGGCTGACACCTCTACCTTTCAAATACTGTGTATTCGCTTAAGGGTTTTTCGTTTCCTCTCAGCTTTTTGTTCATCGTTTTTTCATGCATATCTTGGTTTATTTCGCCGATACTTATTAACGGAGCCCTCTGTCGGATTTTAAACTATCCATGTTAGTGCAAAGCCTGTTCACTCTTGAACCACTCGTCGTTTTATATGATCTTTTGTTATAAATATCTTTAGTCGGATTTTGACTGTCCTAGTCGGAACGAACGAACTCTCACTCGTTAGGTGGAGACAGCAGGCCTCGAACCTGCGACCATTTCAATAGTAGCTGAAACCTTTACCCCTTTGGCTACCGGATCACGACGAGCCAATGGGGTAGAGGTTCCGGCTACTATTCGAATGGTCGCGGTTTCGAAGCCTGCTGTCTCCACCTGATGAGATAAACTTACATCGAAACGGGTCTTGGTTGAACAGTGTTTTCGGGTGGGCTACACCCAATTTCCATCTGTTTCGGCTTCGGCGCTAGTGCTCGCAGTGACCAAGGTCCACTTCAATGTGAATCTCGGTCTACATTGAGATTGCGCGTCGCAATCCAGTCACACAACATGTACTCCAAATGGCCCCAACTATTCTCTCACTGGTTGTTTCCCACGCGCAGAATGGCCTAGACCAGGCATTATCAACTACTATTCAGCCGTGGCCCCCTTTTGAACTTTCCATTTCTCATGGCCCCTACCCTTGATCACCATCATTTCAGCAGTCCGCAACGCGTAACAGATGCAAATCTGTGATTTCCAATGATCATATTGATATGTTTTGTTATGATGGCTAAATTTTCAATGTTGGTGTCACTGCTTTTTTCCTCAAAAACCCTATTTTTAACTTTTACAGCTTAAAGATAATATCCACTGTGCAGCAACCTCAAGCCACTTATCTGTAATTACTCAAAAGTCGTCATTAATTTTGCATATTGTATTTACTTATTGTTGGCTTTTAACTGTAATTGATGTAATGAATTAGGTGTGGTAACTTCGGAACAATATGTTTGTCAAGATATTAATGCGAACCTTAAGCCTGATGCTCTTGAGCAAGCTTGCTTATGTCCGGCTCCAGACTTGACGGCGAGAGTCGTATATCTCCTCTTGCTGTGATGTCCACTCTGTTTCTACCTTTTGTCAGAGAAACCAGTCTGTTGAATCCGCATTCAATCATGTATGTGGATGGAAAAGCAAGGAAGTGTAGCTCTGCTTTTTCCCACAGTCTGTGGCATCGGTCTATCCAAAAATCCTTTTTATCTAGCAGGAATTTGGATGTTGCTTGTGTGTCATTATTTTTTAGCTCTATGAGACTCCTGGATTTCAGCTCCTACATTGTAGAATTGTACGTCAACTGGATTCAAAATCTAAATCAGGATTTCCATGTCAATCAGGTCTTGAAATCTTTCATTTCTCTTCCTAGTTGTTGTAAACGAGCGGCATAATCAATTGTGAACTGTGAAAATTCCCAGGTTTTTAAGAAATGCGATACTGCCATCTCTGCTCGAGATAAGACTATTCAACTTGCCTTGAAGAGTTCTATTTAACACGTTGAGTTTTTCGAAATCATCAGCCATTTAAAACCCATCTGGCTTAACTGTTAACGGTTTTCATAATCAGTTCCAGAAAGAATTGTGGTAATAATGTCCCAGAGTGCAACAAAACGACGAATACAGTTGCCCTTGGAGTGTCATCTAATTTCTGTATGCAAAAGTAGAATCTGGAAATCTTCACTGTCCTCCTCACATAACTGCTGGAAAGGACGATCTTGAAAAGGGTGCGGATTAGTATTGTTAGTTACTATTATAAATGTTGACAGTGAATCGAATTAGCGCCCTCCTACGTTCTTAGCCACTAGGTACTCTCAGTGAATCCCACAGTGAATTGTATGAACAGAGAGGAGAACACTTTTATACGAGCAGTGAATCCTCTATAACTTCCGGCCGTTGCGTTAGCACCACCTGTTGCACCTGCAACTATGTGTTGCACGGTGATGGAGTTTTCAGGCAGGTAGCTATTGACTACCTCGAATATCGGCTGGCCCTATGTATGAGTTCTCTATATCCTGGCAAGCAGCATCACTCCCAGTAACTCATTATCATTGAAGAATCGGACAAATGCTATGAGAATAGCGTCGTTTTCACACTTGCAACGAAAATTTTATGGAATGTAGTAAGGTAATTAAGGTACTTTCTCTGTTTGGAGCCATCTTATCTATTCCTTTAGATATAGTTGCGTTGCTGAGCAGAATGGCTTAAACTGCTTCTTGTGGATTCATATACATCAGCTCAGGCAGTGTCATTGATACTGAAGGCAAGATAATATTTTCTCTAACATTATATGGACTGCAATTGTTGTCAATCAATTTCATGATTTTATAAGACGCCGTAGGTCCATTTGCTTTCTTTGTCCTGTCAGAAGCCATTGTCTTTAAAGTTAATATGTTCTCGAAGCCATCCCGCTACTTTCCGAAAAATTATCCACGGACTTACTGCTATGGCCCTTATCAACACTTGCAGAATGATTTTTCGGTTTATGCGGTCACATACTTTCATTTGAAAGGGTGTTATGGCAAATTGAACACACAGTTAGAGTGGGGTTTTGAAGTGTTGCGATAAATCCAAATTCTACGGAGTACTGCCGAAACGTATTTGTTGCCGCGGAACCCATTTCTGATATATCTCACTGTGAATTGTTAATAAAGCTTTTTTCTTTTTCTTACACATTTATATCATGGGTATTAAATAACATCATCCGATAAGGCGAAATACGCAGTTAGTATGAATGACTGGTGGCACTATATCTATTTTTGCTTAACCGTGAAATCATAAGACATTTGGGTAAGCATACTTGTAGCATCTGTTGCTGGCTGCAATGTTAGCATGTAAAATTGTGGAGACACGGTTAGAGAGACAACCCAAAGGCGTTTGATGAGGATGAATTTGCAAATACCGTGGAAAGCAAAAATGGCTGAGGCTTTTTGCTAAAAGCTAATGAAGAAAGAAAACAAATAGAACTTAAAAATGACAATGCTCATTGGACACGCATTCATTACAGGGAAGTCGAAGTTAACAGACTACTGACACAATGAAGTGTTTTCCTAAAACGCCATCAGTTCAAACCGTTCTCCATCACACCCTTAGTCAACCAGTCACTAGTTCACTGGATATCTGGACTTCATGCTTTCCTCAATTACATCCACCAAACTGAACATTATTTACCTTACAGGGTGGTGACCGGTTGCAGGAGGCCTTGAACATTTATGAGGAGCTCAAAGAAAAGTATGGCTCTACTCCCGTTATTCTCAATGGACAGGCCGCAGCATTCATTGGCATGAACCGTTGGGAGGATGCTGAATCTGTGTTACAGGAATCGCTTGATCTTGTGAGTTCCGCTTCCCAATGGTATTTTCGCGGTTTACGCCCCTGGAGTGTTGCTTTCGGTTACATCATGACTATCCTAATTAGGACCATGATCACTTGCGATTCACTGTTTACGTTTCCCGGTCGGTTTTATGCTCAATCAAGTTTTCCGAGTGCACGGCCTATCGATACTCATATTATCAACAGACGTCGTTTTTCATCACAGATATTCCACGTACCGGAGAGTTATATAAGGGTCGTATACGGATCGACTTACATATTTACTCTGAGGATCAACTTTCTATTCCGAAACTCGGATGCTCAGCCGCAGCGCCAGGCGCGAGCTCGATCACCTCTGTCCGACCTTCATGACAGTGACTGTGTACTTCGCGTCTCTTATAGTGCCGTATCGATGACTTAAAGCGCTTACACTTGAAATATGGGCATCAACAGTACGTCAGTGGGCCACACTGACGCTTCCTTGCAATGCAACCACCACCGGTCGTCCATGCGCTATGAATACTGCGAGTCTTCCGATACCCTACACAAGTTTGAACCGGTGGCCTTCGAATTACAAGGCAAGCGTGTGATCCTTAAAACTATGGGTCAGCACACTGCGAATATAAGATCTCAAGACTTAACTTCAGCAACTCGCCGCTTTTGTGTGGCCCACCTTCACCATAGCTGGTATGCAGCGCTCTAAGCCACTCAGCCTTTCCCTTGTCTTATACGCCCCCGCTGATTACAGCTCCCAAGCTATGAAACACATACCATCAATAGACCTCATTTTTTATGCATATGGTCAAGGATACCAATTTTGTGTGTGTAACTGATGCCAACGATGTTTATGTGGCTTGCATATCCGAGTCGGAATGATGTCTGGGATTCACCTGGGGCTCGATGATATTTCAGCTAAAAGCCATCTATTTTCTTTATTGTTTTTTTAGCTAATTTCCTTATGCTAGCGACATGATCCAGTCGCACAAACATGTGCACCCATGTAACTGCGTGACAATGTCGCAGACCCAGGTTGGTCATGCTACTCTCACTTGCGAATGCCTCTTTTCGGTGCCTTCTGCGCACACTCTACCTCCTCATCACCGGCAGAGTAAGGGTCCGTGGCAAGCTTTCTTCTCCTTTCGCTGTTGGCAGCGGTGTACTACAGTGCTGCCTTATATCCCCGTTCCTCTTCAATTTTGCGATTGAAAACGTCGTGTCGAGAGCTCTGAAAGGTCACCAAAATTTCGCCTTGCAGCTACTACCGAGAGAGCGCCTTAGACTATGGTGATGACTCTCAGAGTATCCAAAGCATTTTAAACCGTTTGGCAATTGAGGCATCTTAATATGCAATGTGCTTCGCCCTGTCAAAGTGTAAAGTGCGGCTTCAGGATTGACACTCATGCGTTTACGGGATCACTCTTCCATGTGCGCAGCTTGAACACCTGCATAGCCTTGTCTATCTGCGTGTCTGCTGGTGGTACCACTAGAAAGTAAGTTTCTCTCCGCACCACTAAGGCTAAGTCGGCGTCCATCAACCTGAAACATTTGTGGTGTTGTTAGGGTCATGATAACAATGCCACTGTTCGGCCAGTGTTGTCATATGGAAGCGATTCATGACCAGTTCGTGTAAATGACATGCGCCGGCTCTGGGCCTTCGGTAATAGGTGATTCAGTAGGATTGCTCGTGTTTGGTGATAACAGCTTATCTGTAACGTTAAAGACAGATGTCGTGTCTGCCCGAATGCGAGTATTCCCTTCAACAGGCTGATTTTACTGCGCCAGCTAGGATGGGTCGGTCACGTTCTACGCACATCGCCTGAGCGTTAGTGTTGCGGGCACGTCAAATATTCCCGCAAAAACGCGCCAGAAACCCCAGCAGAATGGCTGTGGAAAGCGAGGTTCAATTCCTCCCCACAACGCAGCAGAGCTCAGCCACTCCGAGACGCGCCCCAACTGCGAACCTTTTGACAATGCTCATTTGCAATCTACCACCTCTGCGTGGGGACTGTTTTTCCTAACTTAATAACCCATAGCACTGACTGGGATCGCCCTTTGTTGGTCGTAAAAGAGCCTACAGAGGACCACTTGTCTTTTCTTTCTCTTCGCCTCAGTTGGGAGTCGGTCGGATCGCGTGATTGCGTGTGCATCGTTAGCTGGCCAGCCTTCGCGTCTAAGTCATTAGCGCGCGTCTATCGTACCCCCCTCTCGTGTGCGCCCGTTCCGAGGGGTCAGCGTCTATCCGAACACTTGCGGCTAAGATCGGTCACACGCTCGCTCAATTTTCCGTCTCACCCGGCTAAGCTAGCGTCATCAGGTGAGCGCAACTCCGTACGATTGGCCAGCGACAATCTTATCAGGTGTTACGCAATCCATATCGAGAGGCGGCGTTCCCTCAATTATAACCGCGGCGACGACTAAGGCAATCTACCTACCCAATCTATAACAGTGGCGACAGAGTTGACGAACCATGACTGACGAATACGCAGATTTAAAACTGATGCTGCAGCAACAGCTTAAATTGATGTCCGTGCTAACCGAAAAGCTTTCCAGTTCTTCCCTTCATGCAGGTCCGAGCGCCAATTCTCAGTCAGTGGACCACGTGGTTAGCGGCATCAGCGAATTTCTGTACGACGCCAAGGCCGGGGTAACGTTCGAATCCTGGTACAAGCGGTACGAGGACCTGTTCACCGTTGACTTGGCTCGCCAGGACGACGCGTGGAAGGTCCGCCTGCTTCTGCGCAAACTTGGTACCCTCGAACACCAGCGTTACACCAATTTCATCTTGCCGAGGAACCCACGGGACGTTACCTTTGACGACACGGTCCGAACGTTGTCACAGATTTTTGGCGAGCAGTCCTCTCTGTTCAATGCTCGTTACCAATGTCTGCAGCTGGTCAAACGTGATGCCGACGACTTCATCACGTACGCGGGCATGGTCAACCGGGAATGCCAACGTTTTCAACTTGGCTCGCTCACCGAGGACCAATTCAAATGCCTGATCTTTGTCTCTGGCCTCCAATCTCCACACGATGCCGATATCCGGACGCGCCTCCTGTCCAAGCTACAACAGGATGGATCAGTCACACTCCAGAACCTGGCCGAGGAGTGTCAAACGCTGCTCAATCTGAAGCACGACTCTGCCATGATCCAGAACGCCGCCGCACCTGGTATGGTCCAGGCAGTCACAGCACCGAGGGCGCAATCGTCCGCGCGCCCCACCCAATCCGACCGAGCGAAGTCCCCACCCTACGCGTGCCGATTCTGTGGTGCCTGGCACTTCCACCGCGACTGCAAGTTCCGCCAGCATCGTTGTCAACGTTGTGGCAGGGTGGGGCACCGGGATGGTTACTGCCATCCTCCATCTCCCAAGGGGGCCAAAACTGGGCTGGCCCCCACCCGCGATCCAAAGAAGAGGTCCCGACCCAGACGCACACCCAAACCTGGTCCGGTTGGCAGCTCCCTGAGCCTGCTGGCCACGTTCCAAATCAACGCTGCGGATCGGAGAAAGTTCGTCGACGTCTTGATCAATGGTCAGTCGGTCCGATTGCAGTTGGACACTGCGTCGGACATCACAATCATCTCCGAGGATCTCTGGCGATCCCTTGGCAAGCCACCTTTCGAACCGACCTCCCAATCTGCCACCAGCGCCTGTGGTGGTCGCGTGCAGCTAACTGGGCGGCTGCACTGCTCCGTCTCCTTCCGAGACGTCACGTTCAACGCGATCTGCTACATCACAAAGGCGAAGCTCAACGTGCTTGGTCTCGACTGGCTCGAAACCCTTGGCTTGGCCGATCTTCCTCTTCGGGCCATCTGCAACGTGGTACATTCCCCGACAGTACCAAACGACCGAACCGACGACGAAGCCAGTCAATCCGACCCCGTGTCCCAGGATTGTCAACAAGCCTCAAAGATGCCACCACACCAATCACCAGTTCAATGGCATCCGCCAGCAAAACCGTGGTCTCGAGTGCACATCGATTACGCTGGTCCCATCGATGGCATTTCCTATCTGGTCATGGTCGACGCCTATTCCAAATGGCCGGAAGTGGTCGCCGTCAACCCACCAACCGCATCCGCCACTCTGGCTTGTCTCCAACGAATCTTCAGTCAACATGGCCTTCCCGAGGTCTTGGTGTCCGACAATGGTACCCAGTTTACGTCTTCCGTCTTCGAAGACTTTTGCCGCCGACACTGCATCGAACACCTCCGCTCACCGCCGTACCATCCCCAATCCAACGGTCAAGCGGAGCGATTTGTCGACACATTCAAGAGGGCGCTTTTGAAATCTCGCGGGGAGGGGACCGTGGATGAGTGTCTTCAAGCCTTCCTGCTCTCGTACCGGTCCACACCGAATCCAGCTACGCCAGGAGGCCAGTCACCAGCTGAAGCATTGATGGGCCGCAAGCTACGCACAATCAACGAAGCGCTCATTCCGACTGAGAAGCCACCTAGTCACTCTGGTGCCTACATCAAGCATAAAGAATTCGTCGTTGGAGCCCCAGTCTACGCTCGCGATTACCGAGCAGGTCATCCTCGCTGGATCAAAGCAACAGTGACAGCCAGGCGAGGTGACATGCTGCATGATGTCTCCGTGGGTGATGACACCTGGGTTCGCCATCGCAATCAACTTCGTCCGCGCCACGGAGAAACCTCCATGCCAGCCAGCTATCCCGTGCACCTGCCGCTGCACATCCTGCTGGATACCTTTGGAATGGCTCCACAACGGGAGACCACGGTCGAAGCCGCTCAATCGACGCCGCGTCTCGAAAACCCACCTTGCCGACGAACAGAAAGAATCCGGAGGTCACCGAAATCCCTCCAGGTCAATCCTTGCCAGAAGCGGTACGCTTTCTCTTCAAAGGGAGGTGTTGCGGGCACGTCAAATATTCCCGCAAAAACGCGCCAGAAACCCCAGCAGAATGGCTGTGGAAAGCGAGGTCCAATTCCTCCCCACAACGCAGCAGAGCTCAGCCACTCCGAGGCGCGTCCCAACTGCGAACCTTTTGACAATGCTCATTTGCA